CAAACTATCCGCCGGTCAAACCCGCTGACTCAATCCGTTGTTTAGATCTCGCTGACTCAATCCGCTAATCGCTAACCTCGTAACGGACAACTTAAAGCCCGTAGTGACTAAATTGTTGTTCATGCGGTCATGCCGTCCAACCTATTCAACTCCGGCCTCCAGCTAATAATCGGAACAAAACTCACCACACACTCGAGTGTAACAACTTACAAACTCTCAGAACAAAACTCACCACACACTCGAGTGTAACAACTTACAAACTCTAACATCAAATCATAGTAAAAGTTAGACGCAGTCTTAAAACTAAGTGAAAAAACAAATAAAAATGCAATGATAGATAGCTAGTCTTCAAAATACTTGGTGGGCTTGCCAGACCGAGCCCACCCCGCCCCTACCCCTTTTTTGCACCGGTTGACTCCAACTCCATCATCGCCTCGTCATTCTCGGTTTCTTCCTCCTCCACTCGACGACGCTTTTATTTTGTCGCTATCATCCCTTCTACCTGCTTTCCAAAAGTATTGAGTCATACTCCTCTCCATTTCCTTCTCTCCATCTACTCTCTTCATTTCTTTTTCACTCTATCTCTCTTCTTAAAAAAATAATAAAACATAATCTTTTCTTTTTCCTTACTCCACCATTTCGCCACCTCTCTCTATCTCTCTCCTGCTGTAGAGTTCCAGTCACTAGAGAGGAGCAAAATTCCACCTCCAGTTTCTCGAAGTCCGCAAGTGCATGTATTTCCCCTTGCATAACTATTGCACCGGTGAGGACCGATCTCGACCTTCTAGCAACAGCCAAAACTCTATCTATTCCACCCCACACTCTGGCCTTCAGATTCTATAGCATTATATCTCTTTCATCACCAAATCACCACTCACTTTCCTCAAAATATCTCCAAAATGCTTTGGCAACAAAAACATCCCTAGCCGTAGCTGCGGACGCAAGAATCTCAGCTAGGAGGGGCGACATTGTAAACAAAAATACATATGAAATACATCTATACTACGTATTAAAATTACGGGGTGAATATAACTAAAAAAAATTGTGAGGGCGGCAGCCCCTATTTCCCCATGTTCGATCCGCCACTGGGCTAGCCACCACCTACATGAGACGGGCGTGACTACAAACCATCCGACCACCTTACCGCGGCACCCAAATTCCGAATCTGAGTCCCGTGAAACCACAAAGACTGCCCGCCCTAAAGTCAAGGCCAACAAACCAAAAAATCCAAATTTACATATTTTGTAAATTAGAACACAGAAACGTTGGTACACTGCAACAAAAAATAAAACAGTTCCGGTATCCAAAGATCCCTAACATAATTCTACCGAATGATATCAGGAGTATGAAGAGGGCAACGTGGTGACCCTTTTGAGTTTTTTCCTAATTTAATTATTCCTAAATTGTGTAATTTTCACCAAAGTGACCAAACCGCCTAATATTACAAAAATATGGAAATGTAGGAAGAATGCATTTTAAAAAGTAGGAAGAACAGTACAGTCATGATATTCTATTCCAACGAAAGAGTCTGTGTAAAAGATGAGATGATCCAAACTACCAAACCTCAAGTGGTCAAGTCGAAGACCTCCTTTTTTCAAAAAACAAAAAAAAAAGTAACAACCACAACAATAATTTAAAATTAATTGTTAATCATCCTGATTTATTTCATATAAACGTGCTTTTTAATCCCAGAAGGACGTAAGGTTTTATCCTGAAGCTAATCAGACGTCTATTTTTCGTACATATGATATCATGATTGTCAACAGTGATATTTATTGTATATAAACAGGTCATATGGGGAGGACGGACTTGGGACTTGTTCGGAGCCTACTTAGGTCATAATGGGATTTTCCCTAATTGTGACCACTTGTTACCAAACGCGGTCGCTGACTTTCATTAAATGGCCTTAAGGGCGGCGTACTATCTGCGTGTCTTTCCCGAAACGGTCAAAAAAGTCGATTCATCAGCCCAACATTTTCAACCTATTTGGCCTTGAGTTTACACTATATTCACAATTCACAACTATGGAGTACATCATTACTTATTTTAATTTATTTTCTTCTTCTTTTATAATATGAAGGGAGTATGAATGTAAGAAATCCATCTAAAATGAGAAAGTTCCTAATTTTTGTTTCAAACTTTCATTTTTTTTCTGGTAAGACCACAAATTCCATTCTAACAGGTTTAGGAGGAGTAGCCCAAAATTTTATAAATTATTTTATTATTTTATAGTTTTTCGGCGTAAGATAAATATTTTAATACGCCCCCCTCAATGTGAACCAAATTGGATAACATCAGGGTGTATAAATGGATCAAATAAATCTTTAACCAGTTACATTTAATCATGTGTGCTAATTAAGCAATCATATCACAACCGGACTTGATCATGACAACCGAACTTCACTCAAATATCATGTTAAATAAGATCGAAAATTTCATCCAAAAAAATTAACATGCTGTCTAATAGAATGTTTTTAGCGTGAGATAAATACTTTGACATATTCTATCATTGATAAACATAAAGTATTGTCTTTTAGTCATTGATTAGAATTAGGAAAAGACTGAACTATATATATACATAGCTCAAGAAATTAAAAACAAAGAGGTTGGGGAAAAATAACATTCTCCTTGTGATGACCATGTTGAGATCTCTAACAACAAGAAAAAGCCCACATGCCTATGAGCAATTGACAAGAGAGAATGAAGGGGCTGCACATGATCTGTTTGAGCCAAAGCTGAGCAGAACCACAAGCGTCCAGCCTGCTAAAAGTGGAGTCTTTAGCAGTTCTTCATCCAAGAGATCCACAGAATCTCCGGCGAAAGCTCAGGCCAAACAGGCGGAGAAGGCCAGCAAGATCCACCCGATTTTCAGCCTCTTCACCTCCGGCCAGAAGAGGAACAAGGGCGTGGGACCCACCGCCAGGCCGGAGTTCTCCAGGTATTTGGAGTATCTTAAGGAAGGTGGGTTTGGGGGTGCCTTAGACATGGCTGCTGCTAAATCAAGTATGTCTGCAAAATGAAAGATTTGATTAATTTCTTGGGCTTCTTTCCAGGCCGGGCTGTAAATTATTATTTCTATGTTCTTGATGGTCGGCCGATGAGAGATCGAGGGTTAAGGAATATTTATTTATGCCTTTCACCAGCTTTTAATTACTGTAATTCATATAGTAATAATAATATAATATATCCATCCTTCAAAAGGGTAAATTAAAACATGTTCTTTGATGTCTGTGTAATTGTGTGAAATAATCCATTATGATTCTCTCTGTTTTTTGAAAGAGATTGTCTCTGTTTATTACTCTACCTATAAGTTTGTATGTAAATGTAATAACACATAAATAAGTGTTGGAAAGTGCAGTTTTACATTTAAACACTACTAAATCTATTGAAGTGCGAAAAGATCGAATTAGAAGTTTAGAACATAGAAAAAGTTTGATGCATACAGACTTTTGAGATTAAAATGAAGTTAAGTTTACAAATTGGAAACTACTTCATATGAATTAAAGTCTGTTTCGTTTTTGGATTGTAATAAACATATACTTTCATTTATGTTGGGGTTCGTGCGTAAGAGTCATAATCCAGTACTTAGATTGCTTAAGGATCTTGTAAGTTCACTTTCCAAATTGATATTTCTTTCTTATGCCTAGTTTACAAGAAATTCAATTTAGGATAATTGTTAAGGACACTCTAGAATTTAGACATAAGAACTAGAGCCAAACTGGTGAGTATATGAATTGTTTTCTTTAATTTGAGTGCCAAAGTGATGAAGATACGTTGTATCTCTTTTTTCTACCTTCTCTGTACGAAATATGGTGATACATATCCATATTAACCGTCTCAGGCAGTTGCAATACGTTTGAGAATAACCGTGTCAGTTTTTGGAAAACTGTTCGAAACTGCCCAACCGCTTTAGACCTCGGTCTAGAACCACAGAGCTGATCTACTGAACATTATACATCAAGTTCCACTGACGTAGACAATTTGGAATTAAACTAGTTCTTATATACAAGTGTGCACTCCACAACTACTAACTTGTATTAGATCATAGTTCTAATCACCATTGACACACATGTCATTTTTAATTACACAAAACGGTCGGTGACATTAAAATCATCAACAATTTACATTGAAGGTTTATATCATTAGTATTGCTGTTCTAGTAAACTCACTTCAATTCCATCTCTTAGCTTTCATATTGTATGAATATTGCTTGTATCTTAAGAAACAACTCCAAGATATTTGCCAATTTTTATGTTTCAAGTTCGTTGGTGTTCGGAAATACTATTTGTTACCACTTACCAGTTTACCATAATTTTTAAGGATGGAGTATTTGTTACCATAATTTTTCGGAAATACTATTTGTTACCACTTACCAGTTTACCATAATTTTTAAGGATGGAGTATTTGTTACCATACTCCCTCCGTCCCGTGAAGATGTTCCCGGTTTGACCTACACACATATTTAGGAAATAAATTTGACTTTACTGTTTAGACACTGTTTGGCACTGTTTAGACACTGTTTGGCACTGTTTAGACACTGGTTGGCACTGTTTTGCACTGTTTGACACTGTTTTGATGTAGGATGACTTTCCATTTAGGGAAAGGGGAACTTCTTTTTGGAACATCCAAAAAAGGAAAGTGAGAACATCTTTGCGGGACAAAGGGAGTATTTTCTACTACGTAGTACTAGTATATATTACTCGCTATTACTCTCTTCAACTCTTTACACTTACGGATGGGCAAGGCCGAACTAGTGTAGGCCTCGGAACCGTGCCCCAACAATTTTTTATTATTGTTTGTGAAGGTTGTGAAATTTTTTAATGAATTTTTTTTGGACATTCTCATCATCAAGTCTAATGTATGTCTGTCAAATTTCAGTTTAAAATTTAATCGTGAAGACAATTACATAAATTATTGAAACGTATTGCTTTATACTCGTATATATAAACAACGCAATATTTTTCAATTCCACATTTAACTGACTTCATGATTGAATTTTTAGTTGAAATTTGGTGGGAATAAACTATACATGATAAACAACATGTTCGAAAAAAAATTATCAATTTTTTTCACCAGAAACCACTCTAAATAGTGAATTCTGCACGGCAGTTCCGGTCAGGAGCTCTGAACTCGAAAGGGACACACTCTCTCTCTATATATATATATATGGAGTATATATAGTAAGGATCATATGATAATACTATCTTAGGAGAGAAATGAGAATGATTCTGGAGTGTTGGATCCTAGTATCGTGCATCTGATGTTGCAACTCAAGGGGTCAAATAAGCCCCTGAACCCAACCGAATTGTTCAAGTCACCCCCTCAATCGTTAAAAAGTGTCAAAATTACGAAAATAAAATATAAAAATAAAAATAAAAATATAAATAATAAGCAGGATTTGTAAACCCTCAGGGTTTACAAATCGCAATAACATAGCATCACACATCATGAGCACAATCGAACAGTCAATAATCTATCCCACAAGTGTACTTGGATATCCGTAAGCTTGCACCAATAAAGGTTACCCGTTTGATAACACTATCAAAATGAGCGGTCACGTTAGAGTATGCGTGACCTTGGACGGTACGTTGGCTCTCCTTAACCGATTCAAAGACATCCTTCAGTTGAAGGTTCTGTTCGAGTATGAGACGTTGCTTGGCACGCAACTCCTTCATCAACCCACTAAAATCATTAAAACCATTAGTCTTGTACTTCAAGAGTAAACCGTCTTCTACCACAACCCCAAGGTCTTCAATGTCTGAGTCTGGATCCTGATCATTAAAGAGTACTGAAGTAGCAGGGGCAGCATCAGCCTTTGATGCACTAGCTGGTGCTGCTCTCTTGGAACTTGGGGTCTCCGAAGGCTGTTCTTTCCCCTTTTCTGCTGCTGTTGAGTGAGGCCTCATTGTTACCTCAGACTTTTCTTCTTGTGCTGCGATCAGAGGGGTTTCAGCTTCCTTAGACATCCTCCGAGAGAGCTCGAAAACAATCAATTAATCTGTGCGCGCGATATAGGGTAGCTAGACGATCATAAATAACACAGCCACCCAAAAGAAGCTCCTCAAGGAACCAAAAGTACAGCCTAAATCACGATATCAACGAACCCTAGAAACCAAGTTTACGCATAAAGTGAGACGAGACGGAGAACCCAAACCACGTCGGGTCGGGTGGGGGAGGGTTATATTTATATTTAAAAGGAGGCCCGGAAAATTTTAACTAGCTCAAGAGGAGCTGAAAGCCCAATTGATTGGGCTTACACCGGGCGAGGTGTTGACATACACACGTATATGTATTACCTCACTTTATATATAATATAATGTACACATAAATACTATGTACCGAGTAATATATTTAATATGTAAAAAACTACTACGTACTATAATTTAAATACACACACATATATATAATAAATAATAAAAGCATGTAATTAATATTTTTATATTTTACTTCTTATATAGTACTATATAAATTAAAGTTTTAATGGTCTAAATAGTTAATACAAAGTAAAAAATTTAATCTTGTATATGTCTTTTTTTACTTATATAATATACTTCATAAATTACATCTATTTTTTAAATAAATTAAAAATAAAAAATAAAAAAATAAAAATGGAAAATGTAAACATAATATAAATCATCAAACCAAGAACTGAAAAAACAAAATCTTAGATTTTTTTTAAAATAAAATACAATTTCAAATATAGTTGGTGGAAATATATTGTTTATTCTCTTATATAAAATAGAGATATAAAATATAGAATAGAGTTAAAGAATTTATTTAAGTGTATATTTTATTTTCTATTATGAATTTACCGCAAAACATAAACATTTCACATTTATTTATATTTTAAATTTTGTTTTATTTTATATTTTTATTTTATATTTTTTATTTTTTATTTTTTAGTTTTTATTTTTATTTTTTATTTTTTATTTTTCATAATTTGAGACTTTTAACGGTTGAGTGGGTGAATTGAACAATTTGGTTGGGTTCAGGGGCTTATTTGACCCCTTGAGTTGCCATCTCAGATGCACAGTTGCCACATGACCTGATGATGTGGCCCTGACCAGACGGTTACCTGCAAATTGTCAAAATTGAAACTTAATTTAATCCAGTTCAGGGTGCCAATTGGAGCTTTTTTAAGTTCATGGGGCGTATTGAGCATTACGGACAGGTACAGAGGCCCATTTGACCCTTTAGCCAATATACAAATAACTTCAAAAATGCCAAAATAATGACTTTAACATTCTTAATTTTTTCCTAATTTTTATCTATACTTCTTCAAATTTAAACATATTTTTTAGTTTTTAAATATAAAAAACCTACTATTAGAGGTCAAATATGGATTAAATGGCTAGATTGATCAATATCTTAAAGTAAGCATACTTATATGATGCAAAATACATTTTTTTAGTAAAGGGGTTGCTACTTAAAGTCCTACAAGCAGCTAGGCCAGAAGGATCTTAGGGTTCACACGATTAACGACAAGGCAGTAAAGTACTTGTAAGGTAAGCTCTGTGTTGAAACCACCTCGGAACGTAAGGATGAGAGCTCTTTCATCAAAGGAGATGGTCCCTACATGGTCATCGTCATGGTAAGTCCTGAGACGTACAAGTTGAAGACTACAACATATTTCTTGATTCATGTGTTCCATACATGCGATTACAACTTCCGCGTGGTCTACTCATATTATGAAAATCTTACTACCTTGCATAACGAATTTTGTAATCGATCTCACTACAATGAAGGGCACCAGCAAATAAAGAAAAAAAGGTACTATGCCCCCCCCATGTTTGGCCAACCTCGGCAGGCTTTGGAACCAGAAAATAGCAAAGCGACTTTATGAAATCCAAGCAATTTTTAAAGTAAAGACCTAGGCGCGATAGTCGAGGTGACACTAGGGCCGGCCTCCAGGTCAAGAGCGCTCAGGATGCTGACCTCTTGGTTCTTCCGAGTAATCAATGTCTGACATCGGTGGCCAAGCAGCTCGCACTCTCGCCGACCCAGAGTTGGCGATGTGGGTCCATTTATGTGGATCATGCAGGGTCCGCCTCTATTGCTAGGATGAACTCGCGGGAATGGCCAGATTATTCCCCAAGTCCGGGGCAATTGGGCAGGATAAGGCGACAATAGGACTGACCTTTAGGTCATGAAAGTTTGGGATGTTGACATGTAAGGACCCTTCTCGTACGTTCGAGGTCCGACCTCGTCGGCCGAACAAGACGCACACTTGTTGATTCTATATCAACAACGAACATATCACTTCTATCCGACCGGGCGGGGCGCGTACTGTCTTGACCATGCCGGCCTACCGCCCTCCCCGAACTAATTGCTCATGTATTCATTATGCAAAGTATGAAAAAATAGACAACTGAGTTGAAAAATGAACACCCAATCAAAGGTTACATCCATCAACTATGTTATGGAAATACAACAACTACAATGTAATGGAGGGGTGGATCCATGGCCATCAATCACAGTAGTGTCATCGTCAAGCATAGTGATGTAGCCATGATTGGCATCCGCCCCCACAAAGTTGCTAGGAACCTCGGGAAACTCTCTTGAGCTCCAGAGTCCAACGTCGTCCCCGACGTGGCCATCCTCTTCCTGGCAGACGATTGCTCTTGCATGTCTCTCACTGGGATTCTTCAGACACCCGGGAAGACCTAATTGATGCCTTGAACTCTACAATTTGCCGGTTGCCAACCTTTGTGACCTCTGCCTCGTGAGGCTCATGCTAAAGCTTGACATGGAGATGATGAATGGTCTAGTATGCATAAGCGAATACTACACCCTACAAACTATAAGAGAATTATTATGAGAAAATCAAGAGAAGAAGTAACAGATTAGGGTGGGGTTAGGCCACATGCAATGCTAATTGACCCTGAGAACTCACCGATAGCATCACGACGGCCTCTGAGTTTGGTGATGTCCGCATGCCATGGGGGCCACTGGCTTATGGATCCACTCTTCTTGGTTTGGGAGGTTGATAGCGGATTAATGCTTAGATGACTCGCCAAGTGCCGATCGATATGCTATATGCGCCCTCCAGACTTTGGGGACTCATCGGTTTATCTTGGGTGAAGCGGTGAATGGCAAGCCCATTACCTCTGGCCTCTGAGGGAACATGGCCACCTATTTGTGGAACCTAAGGTGTCCATCATCTTTTGGTCGCCGCATGCTAGACACAGCTTCATCGATGAACTCTATGAAGGGATTGCCAAGCTAGCATCGCCGACTTATGATCACCAACCACTTCTAGCCTATAGTTGTCAATGACCCGTTGTCATGGATAGTTGGGACAACAATCAAGTATTGACTGATGATGTGAGTTTTCTCGCACTTAAAATAGATCGTAATATAGTGGTGTAAGTACGAGTATCGTCTCCACAGGGACGGACAAAAGGGAATCAAGAATTAATTAAATTCAGCGATTAAAAAGAAAATAAAAAAAGCGTCGTGCGAGATTGGTTGGTTTGGAAAATAAAACTAATGCGAACAATTAAACTAGGGGGTTCTTTCTAATTAATGACGAAGGGAACATGGATCGATTCCGGGGTAACCAGATTTCTGGCAGATCAGGCCTAATTACATGAAATTAATTTAATTGAGCCTAGCTAATCATTACTAAGTTCTTACCGCTCTCGCGGCGTAGAGTACAATAATTTAGGGGACCAGGTTGATCTCTCATGCGACAGGATCCTAAATTATTGCCAAGACGAGCGACCTTACGGCCCCTTAATCGCTACTAATCTCTTAGCGAACGATTAAGTGTGTGTGAATGTGTCCTAGAACAAATTAGATTTCTCTTAATTTATTCTACATGCAATTGTAATTCTAGTCGCGATTCTAGGTTACAAAAGATATCAATTAAATTATTCAAACACAAATTAAACGGCATTCATGCAATTAAACCGAAAAGAATCTAGCCATACATCATGATTAACCCCTTCATCAATCCCAAATCCCTAATTAAAACTACTCACAATTCATAATTGAAGAATCAATAGAATTGGAATAAAAAGAATTAATTGTCATTAATTAAAAAGGTGGAACTTACAAAGAATTCCAAAAGATTGATGAACAAGGCTGAAAAGCCCTCTAAAATTCGTGCTAGGCACTCTCTCTAAGCTCCCCCCTTGAAAACGGGGGTTTACAGGCTGTTTAAATAGAAAAATCGGGTGAAATTTGAGCTGAATTAGGATTTTCGGAGGCAGACACGATGCCAGGCACGATCGTGCCTCCGGAGCAAAAACGCGCATTTTGGGCAGGCACGATCGTGCCTGGTTGGCAGTAACTCCGCGGTGCTTTTCTCTTCAGGCACGATCGTGTCTGAGTCAGCAGATGAGTTCTAAATAATTGACCAGCTGGCAAGTGACATGACTTTTTCCGGCAAAATTAGTAAGTTCCGGCAGAGAAGGACCAAAATTGCACCAACTTATTAGTTAAGGGATGTAATTTACAAGTCACTAAAGTTACAGGACCAATAACGGGTATAACTATAAATTACGGGACTGAATCAACAAATTTCCCCAAGATATTTTATACCTTGACATTCATAATAATCGGACAATGTGTTCGAGCATTACAAAGTAAGAGTACATGTATATTATATATTATTCTATTTATCATACTGTATATCTATTCTTAACAAACTTAACAAACTTTTGTCAATTGTATCATTGAGGGTGATTTTACTTGGACTGAAATTTGCTGGTCTAGTCTGGTCTGATCTGAACTGGTCTGATCTGGTCTGGTCTGAACTGGTCTAGTTTGGTTTGAATAGGTCTGGTCTAGCCGGTCTGGTCAAGCCTGAGACTGAAAGCAGTCCAAGTAAAAACATCTTATCTTTTTAACGGGATTTTAAGACGGATTTTGTGCAATGAAAACTAATGACATAGTGGAAATATAGTAATATAGAAAAAGTAGGAAAGATATTACAAAAATCTGAAGATACGTATGTTCTTGGTAAGTTATTAATAATTGTATAAAGAATAATTGTTTCAAAAATCACAAAAATAAAGGGGAAAAAGAAAACTAAAGCGTGTGAATATTTGTCTTTTGAATGTGCTTTCTAACATATTATAATATACTAGTACTACATATGTTCTATGTTAAGTCCAATACATTTGAACTAAAATGAAATTCAAATATATGGCCTTTTCCTTGAGAATGTCATAATGATGTCTTCAAACTACAAGATACTTCATAAAGCGAGTAGACTACTAAAGTATAGATATAATTGATGATTTAATAAGTAGGTTATTAGATGATAATTTAAATCACCTAGGTTAACATGTAAGATATGGGAGTCTATTCAAATCTAAATAGTTCATTCATTTTTGTTGAGAATCTTGAGGAATATAAAAATAAAATAATATGGTCAATCATCACATTGAGTATATAATTTTTGTTTAAAATATAATCTCTAATTTAAATCGTTGATGCCCCCAATAACAAATTTCTCTGGATCTGCCACTAT